GAGAGGTCTTTGAATATCTCTGGTGGTGTTTTTCCGCTGAGATGAAGCTCAATGATGGCTGCACGTTGTGCATTCATTTTGGCACAAAAAATGATAGGAAATGATGAGACCATTGCTTCATCTGCAACTTTAAGCTACATGTCCATACAAGTCACACGCCCATAGGCTAGTAAAAGATTCTACCCGGGAGACATTCTATGTGAGTCCAAAGTTTGTAACAGAACTTCTTACGCACCCTGTACTGATGGAAATGAATGGTTTTCACCAATGCCTGAAGCACAGTCTAAAGTTTTTTTTATTCACAGCTTGATAAGCTTCAACATGGGCACCTTTAGTTGCACATAAAATGTTGAACTGATATTCAATTTCATGCCAGGTATTCCTGATCATGTTGGCTGTAGCTGTGGTGAGTGCATTACAGATTTGGCACCTGAGCCCAGTAATATCTGACTCTGGTTCTGAAGACAATGTCCTTGATATACCGCCAAAAAAAAAAAATCCAGTAATGTGTTGTCAGGTGATCATGGTGGCCATGGGATAGGCCTGCCGCTTTCAATCCAGCAACCTGGAAATTTCTTGTCTATAAATATTTGGCTCCAGTGCAGAGGAGTACAATCATCTTGGATAATGATGCCTGGTTCTAGGTCTTCCAACTATCCCTTTGGGATTACCTATCCCTTGGCCACTGTGATTGCTTGGCAACACCCAACTTGATTTTTTTTTTGTGGGGGCATGTCAAAAACTTTCCTTTCATATGCTAGTCATATCAAAATATTAAATGGGCAGTCTTAAAATAAAACCTTGAGAGTGACTTTGTCTCAACTTCTACTGAATCTTGAAGCTGAAGCTTTTTCCCTGGATTGCACTGGGGCATTCCAGCATCCAGATCCAGGTGCATCTTGCAGAATTGCTTGACTCACCTAGAAGGGAAATAAATGGTATTGAGAAACTGAAGATCTTTTCTACCTCTGCATGACATCATTGCAGAAGGGTTAAAATTATTCCTTGAAGTATATTCAAAGCAAAATTTGACTGAATTTGTCCAGATTGAAGAATAATTATCTAAACTTTACCTTTATTGTACAGCATTTAAATGCCCTTTTGTTGCTTCACAGTCAGTATTTAACTGTGGGTATTTAAATTTGAAGTGCAAACACGCAAGCTTTGGGGGAAAAAATTACTTCTTCGTAAACTATTGATGGTGAAACAATAACATAATAACCATATTTTCTAAAACAATTCCATTAGGCAATCTGGCAATACATTTAGCAGTAAGTACACTGACCTTTTGGCCTATAAAGGTTAATGTTGGTGTCTTTTGTAGTTCTATTCCAGAGGTTGGAGATGTAACCAGCTTCTTGGCAGATGTAGAGAGACTCACATTACCTCATGATTCCAGTGAGTTTGAAATCATTCCATGTAGCATGGTACAATATTTACATGCTGATTCAGAAAATAATTTTTATTTCAGGTGGAGGGTACTTGATTTGCAGGAAAGTAGGAAGCAGTGAGAAGTCTCAGGCTACTGTGAGTTTATATTAAATTTATGATGAAGACTTAAGGTGGCAGGTGCTATTCTCCATTTAAATATTATATGATGGCTCAAAATATTGTATAGGGGATGCTTCAGCCAGTGATTTATGAGTTCATTTGCCACAATGAGACTCTGATAAACCAGCTTGCTGACAACATCAACCGGGCCATATCAACTACACAGTCAGTAACACAGTCAGCTGCTGCAGTCAACAGTGAATCAAGTGATGTCCTCATGGATGAGCTTCAGGTGGCCATTAATGAGGCCAGTCAGATTGCAGATCCCATCTGTGATTCTGTGCTTCAAGAATTGTTTGGTCAGTTCTCACCCTCTCTTCTATCCACTGGTCCTCAGATGACAAATATGTATAATAAAAAAACATTATCTAAAGAGAGTCCCATGATGTGGGAGTCAGGAAAAGTGATTACTGGAAAAACCAGATGGTAATCTGGTAATTCCTGTAATATCTCCTTCTCTGATAAAAGGTTCTTGCAGAATATTGAGATATGTAGTTGTATTTGTTAAGGTGATATCCCTGTGCATGATTCCTGCACTCCCTTGCCTCCTTCAATAATTTTCTACTGCAAATCTCCTGTATTGGTTATGTGGTCTTGCAGGAAAGGACTTCATTCCTGGTGCCAAGAAGCAATCTCAATCTAGAAGTCAGCAAAGCAATGAAGAGTCAAGGCATCAAGCAAGGAAGACTCCAGCAAAGAAGCGGAAGCCAACAACTCCTGAAAAATTAGGAGAAACTCTTCAACAAACTCAAGTCCCAGTTTGTCAACAAAGCAGTGCTGGTACAATACTTAATGTGGAAAATTCTTGTGCTCCATTGATCTACAATGTCATGTCAATGCCTGCATCAGTTGCCATGTCCTCCATGACAGTGTCTGGCACAACTGTGTTACCTGAGAGTGAGTGGAGACAAACGACAAGCAGTGCTCCTGAATCTGCACCTGTTTTAATCTCCTCTGAAGGGCATCATGCATCTTCAGTCAAGAACCAACTCTCTGCAATCTCTGACCGAACTCCTCACATGTGCTCTTCAGGTGTGTTTCTTAGAACTGTACTTAGTGTAGGCTTTCTTCTTGTTTCTATTGGCACTGGAACATGTGACATTGAAATAGGCTTCCTGACCTGGCATAGGCATGCCATTTTTTCAAGGTATTGAATTTGGCAATGGCTTACAGGGTGCATAAAATTACTGAATTAGGAAACCTAGTGCTGTGAGTGTACACCTGAGAACAGAGGTAACAGTAGCAGGTATCTGAAAGTGAGTCTTTTAATTCCTAACTACTCCCATGCCTTTTTTGCAAGATGCAAGAAACAGAGGTAGAGGATGGTTTGTAGTTGTAGAAGGACTACCAACCATGAGATAAGAATGGATGGCAAGAGAGAACTGGGCCTGACTCATGCCAACCATAAAATTTCAGAGAAAAAATTGAAGAAATGAGTAAGACCTGAAAATCTGAATCATTGGTTCTTATGTTTTCATGAATTTTTGTATCAGTTTCTCCTCCTAATTGATCAGAACCATTTTCTTTAGGACCAGCTCATGGGACATTCAACTGTTTAGTGATTTTCTTAAAGAAAAGGTGTTCTCTGCAAATCTACACATCATTCATAGACTCAATTATTCTGCAGTTACAGTGCTCAGAGGCATAACACATATGGCACTGGACAATTTTATTGAAAACATTGCTGTATGCTACAAAGTGATTATCCGAAGGAATGGTGAACACACTGAACATTTTTCCCAACATTGAACAAACTTCTTGAGTTTGTCTCTCATATGACATGTAATTTAATTTTCTACCTTAATAAATAATGAAAATATATGTCAATTAAATGTAAACCATTTTTTGTGTATGTGAACCCTGTATATGAAAGTAGAACTATTCACCAATGAGAACATGACATAAAAAGCAGCCTTTATGGTGTCAAGAGGGAAATCATTTGAACAGTGCTGAAACTACATCTACCTCATGCACACTGAAAAGGTGCACTTCATGACTGTTGCTTATTATTCAGACAACCTTGGCACATGAAACTTTCAGGGAATTTTTTTATTATTTCCAATATTATGGGAAAAATGTTACCAGTATCAGTTCTCACTTACCAGCAACAAATGTACTAGCTCTTCAAAATCCCAGCATAGTCAACATTTTTGATGTGATGTGCCTCAGAGGATTTCATAATTGAATGTATGATTTGATTGTTTACCTTTGTGAAAGTTTAAGCAAGGGAATAGTGCAAAAAGCTTTTTGGTTTATTCACTGTTAGGAAAGCAGATGACGAAGAGTAGCAGTGAGGATAAGACTACTTCTGTTCAATCCTGGTACTCTCATGCCTCCAAAACACATAAGTACTCCCTCCGAAGACGTAAGTAGAAACTGAAACATGCTGTTATTCAATTCCTATCACTCTTACTCTAACTTTAAGATCAGTTTCTCATTTGTGGATAATTCTGATTATGCATTCAGTTTCTCTTGGATGACATTTAAAACCTTTTTTTACTGGGGACTGTATAAGGGATTGATTCATAAATGAGCAATATGAGCAATTTTTGTATTTACTGATGAAATTATCCCTTGCTAGAAAATATTATTATATATATTGGAAGGGTGGCAATGTTTCTTTTTGTTCAGGCTACAATGTGCCAAAGATACCAACAAAGACGGATGTGGCAAAGTACTTCCCTGATGTAGGTGCTGTTCTCATCAACACCTATACCCGACCACCTGATGCATCTGAGGATGATCCAGGAACTTTGGAAATTGATGTGTGTTTTCAAGAGAATACAGGTTTGCCTGCTGTCTCATCAATAACTGATAAGGGGGGATTGCAACCTCAAAAGACTTCCCAATCCATGGAGACAATGAATGGGTCTCAAGATTCGATTTGTCAGCCTAAATCCTCCTCTCCTGTTCCAAGAACTCAGGTGTGTCAAGAAGAAACCTCAGCTGCCCTTGAACATTTATATGCAGTATCCCAAGTGGATGTGTCATCTGATATTAACTCTAAGGGTGGTCCTTGTTTGTTGCACAAAGAAGCCTCAGTGAATAGTGTCAGTGATCATGCATTTCAGGAAGCAACCCCTGTTCCAATAACTGTTTCTGAATCTCAGGTTTCTCAAGGAGGAATTCCTGTGGTGGTGGTTGAAACATTGCATGAATCTTGTGCTTCTCATTCAAAGACTATGACTGGAACAACTGCTGTAGCTCATGTGCCCCCATCTGACTTGAAAAAAAAATTGGAAACCTTTGAACATCAAGCAGAAAGCTTGTCAGCTGTAGTGCAAGTCAGGAAAGCACAAGAAAAACCAATGCACATAGTATGTGGATCACAAAAGCAAGGCAAAATAGCAAAATTGACTGATGTCCAAGAAACTCCCCTGAAGCGAGCTGAGACTCTGTGTCCTGGCACACTTAGTGTGACTGTCAACATGGATGGAAGCATATCCTTCCAAAATTGCAGTTCAGCAGAGAAGAAACAGCTCATTCAGAATGTCTTATCAGATGGACATGAAGGACCAGTTGTACTCCATCAATTCAGCTCGCCAGAAACAGCTCAGCTTCTCAAAAATACGGAAGAGGTGACCAAGGAGACAATAGATACTGGCACACCTGTCTCATTGATTGAATCAGACAATCATCATGTCATGGCTGCATCAAATGTCCAGTCACTGGAGCAACAGACCAGTGGAAAGTCTGAGAAGTTCAGCTCCAAACAAGAATTTACACAAAAGTTAAGTAAGGGCCTCCAGGCCCTTCTGAATTGTGTGAACTCTGGCCTGGCTACAGAGACTGTGGCAGTTGGCATATCTCCCCCCAAACAAGCTGCTTTAGATGAAACAGTTCAAAAACATATCCAAGCTGCCCCAGCTCCTTGGCATGTTCAAACAGAATGCAAAACTGTCTCCCGTATTCCCATAGTAAAGACTCCCACACCCAGACGTCAGCTATTGATGAACCGCAGGACACGAAGCACCCCACGGAGAAGAAAATATGTTCGTGCTCTTTCATTCAAAAAGCCCAGCCCTCAAATGGAAATCAGCCCTCTGAAAAATGTAGAGCAGGAACTGGAGCTGTCATTGTTTGGGAGTGAACTCTCAGATACTTCACCAGATATCACACCCCTGAAGGCAATGGATAACATTGATGCAAGGAAAAATAATATTGAGTTCACTCCACTTAAAAAATTGCTTTCAAAAGGGTCAAGGATTTCTTTACCTGGCCAGCACACTTCTGCAGCACTTGTGGCTGTTCATAATGAACCCTCTGTTTCCATGTATCCAGCCAATCAATCTTCAGAAAAATTGCCACAATCATCAACTGAAATTGAAGGACAAGAAGCTGGTAACTCTGCTGAAGTGAACAATGGTAATAGAAGTCGTGGTGAGGATGTTAGCTCTGCCACACCAAAGAAGTGGAAGATATGCATTGCTCTGCATCCCAAGGAAACTCCAAGCAAGTGTAAGAAATGTGGAGAGAAGGAAGTGTTTGTGAGTGATGACTCCACTTCAAACAGTACTCAACCCCCTCCAACACCTCGAGTGATTCAACCAGAGACTCCAATATTTGATCGAAATTTAGAGACTGCGAATCAAACTCCTCAGCATTATTTGATTGACACTCCACAGAGCCCCTTAACACCAGACTTCCAGGAAGTTTTGTCTCCAGTTAAATCAGTTGAATCTTGTGCCCGGTGTGTTTCATATGTGGATTCTGGTGCATATCATTCAAAGGAAAGGACCCTTCGTGTGACTGCATTTCGTCGTGATACTGAGCCAGTTCGTGTTTATTCAAAGAGAAGACAAGAAGGATATGCAAGTGATGTGTCTTCCAGTGAGCTATCTGTGTCAATGAGTGACTCCCAACTCAATGAGCATCCCACCAGTCAAAGGCCTTGTGATGTTATATCTGAGTTGTGCGTATCCCTTAAGGATGCCGTGAAACAGGCACTATACTTTAAAGGAGGACTCTTGAAGCAATGTTCTCAGAAAAGCCAAGAGGTTTTTGAGCCAACCCAATCACAACAGCCCAATCAAAAGAGAGAAAAGCAGCCTAAAAAGGAGAAAAGAGCTACTCCCAAAACAAGATGCAAGAAGTTGGAACTGCCTCTGAGAAAACAACCATCAAGAATATCCAAGAAGAAAATCCAACCCACCAAGTGCAAGACACCAATGAAGACTAAGGAGGAATTATCTGTAGATTGTGATGCTGGTCTGTCAGTAATCCATCTGGAAATGGGCAGAGACTTCAAAGACTGTTCTAACATCCAAGACCAAGTGAAAAGTCCTCTGAAAAAGAAAGGCAAGAGAGAGATCAAAATTCAGCAAGCCAAGAAGGAATCACCATCTTCTTTTGCAGGTGTTAACTATGATGAAGGTGATGACTTGGATAGTGTTTGTGCCTCATTTTTGGTGTCCCCTCAGGCAAGAATTATCCTAAATCCATTGAAAGGTTCACCAAGAGAGGACATTATCATGGAAATGGATGAGAAACTCCAGCGTGTCAAAGAGAGACTTCAGAGGGATTTGCCAACAACTTCCACTCCAAAAAACAAACTTGGAAAGAAGAAACCTATCAAATGTAATGAGAAATCAAAACTGGCAGCAAGGCGAGAGTTAATGGTTATACAAACTGAGCATGAAGCTACTGTGTTTAGAGGGAAGCCAGGAAAATCAAGTTCCCAAGTGCAAAAGGGCATTGAGAGTAGGGAAAAGACATCAAACATGAGAGAAATTGAAAACACAACACAAGACGAGCCTTCTCAAGCTCAATTTGATAGAGAAATAGAGAAAGAAGCAAAGGCCAAAATTGCACTAATGAAATCAAGCAGACAAGATCTGTTCAAGATTCAGAAGGTTTGGGGAGGAGAGGCAGCAAACTCAACAGCAATGCTAAGAAAGCCTACGGAGCAACAATTTTATCAGGTTGCTAATGGTACTGGGAAAGGGATCTCTCCAGGTCAAGTTCAAAATGTGAATGAACATGATGAAGAGGAAACAGAAGAGGTTATGGTGACATTAAGTGTTACACCCTATTTTGAACAGCTATCTCTTAACATTGCACCAATGGAAATGCAAGATAAGATGCAGTTACCAGCAGATGACTTTCCCTTGGCCAAGTCCCCAATGAAACTCATTTCTGATCAACAGCCAATTACAGAGACATTGAACCCTGAAGCAGAGCTTAGTGAAGGTGTTGTAAGGGACTCAGATGATGAACCAGTCTCAAGCACTTTTGACCTCCATGCGTACAAAATCCCCAAGAAGAAACAAGTGACAATCTCCACCTTCCCCCCAGAATATTTGCAAAGAAGAAAGCTGAAACAGGAAAGGAGGGGGAGGAGGAGGAGACACAATGAAGATAGGAGATGGCAAAGGAAGGAAGAGGAAGATAGGTTACAAGGAGATGAGAAACGACATTTGGAAGAGAACAAGCAAAAAAGTGGGGGGAAGCGATGTTGGGAAGAGAAAGAGTTGCAACAAAGGGAGGAGAAGCAGCATCAGCGAGAAGAAGATCGAAAAAGAAGAGAGGAGAAACAATACTGGCAAGAGGGAAAACAACAACAAAAAGAGAAAGACCGAAGCCCACAGAGAAGAAGGGAAAGGAAGATTAAGCAGAATGAAGACGGGTATGTGAGAAGACCACACCACTCTGCCAACTCTACCCCCAATTGCAGAAAAAGAGCTCAAGATATTTCTAGAGAAGGTGGACTGCCTATCAAAAAAGCAAGAACAGATAAGTCAAAAGACTTTTGTCATTCAAAGTCATCTAAGGATCATGTACAGCAGTCAAGATCACCTTGTCAGCAGAAACACCCATGCTCTAAAACCACAGCAAAGCAGTTCAAGACTCCATCACCAAAAGAGCTTCTTGAAGTACCTTCAAATGCAGTTCCATCTTTAATTGTGAAAGGCAGGCATATTGCAAAGTCTTCACTTTCAAATTTAGACCCAACATCAGATGGAAGTAGTTCATCATCAGATTCAGAGAGCACGACATCATGTGATACATGTTTCTCAACCTCCTCAGATGAAGGAGATCTTCTCAATGGTATCCCTGATTCTGAAGTGAAAGTGGTTTCCAGAGTTTCTCAAGAGGCAGGAGCTCTTATTCCTGGCATGTGTAAAGCCCCTGAAGCTCCAGACTTTTTTCTAAGAACTACTTCTAAGGTGTCTCAGGAAGATACATGTTTTACTCCAGTCAATATTACCTCTGATTCTCAATTGGAAACTCCTTTCAAAGTGTCTGATGTGGAAGCATCAGCAGCTGCCTCCTTGCTTCAGTTGGGACATACCCCCTATGTTTCTCCCATTGGGATTTTGTCTTCTCCAAGAGGTGAAATCATTAGCAGCCCCTCACAAAATGATCTCTTGGACTACACAATCCTCCTCTCAAAAAAAAAGGTCAGTCCAAAGAAGCTGTTAGTACAGGAGGCAAAAACACGGCTCAAGACACCACCACAAGAATCAGCTGTGTTCAAAGGTTCTTATCCTTATTGAGTTCATCCTCTCCTTTTTTCATCATTACACATTTTTACATGGCATGCTTTTATTTTCAGTTCCCAGTCAACGAGCTCCTAAGCCAAAGAACAATCAGGATTTGAGGGAGGCATCTTCACATTCAGTTTCAAGTCTATTTGCTCAAGAGCCAGAAAAAATAAGTGATTCAAGAAAAGCATCAAGCTATCAAAAGGTAACATCATCACCCATTTATTCCTGGCTGCATTCTTCTTTCCAGCTAAAATGTTAAGGATTTATCACATTTACTTTAATCTCCCCTATATCTGGATTTTCAAAATCATTGCATTTGGATATTTATTATTAGGCATTTAGAGGAAGTTTGGATGGTTGTTAATGTGTGTTAATTGATTATGTTAAATGTGTGGTTTTTTTTTTAACCTCTAGAGGACAGATGTAGTTTGTAAACGCAAATTTTCCCAAACTGAAATACGTTAGTATAATTAAAATTCAACAAACTATGGGTATTCCATAAGGCTTAGTCATCATCATAATTCATCAAGGATAAAATAATATGCACCTAGTTAGTGAATACAATCCACATCTCAAAAATGTGCTTTTTTTGTTAAATTAATCCCATCTGAGGGGCAATTTGACCAAAATTAATCTCATCCCCAATTGCTTAATTAATTATTTCAAGGGTCAGTTGTCTGGTCTTGACGTGGAGATGGCATTGGTTTCAAATGCTAAATTCATAAAGCAAGCATTATTTTTACTCTTATTCAATGAATATTGTGCAGAATTTGTTTCATGATCCCATGATCCTTTTAGGTTACATTCAGTTTCACACAATCATTCCTAAACCCTCTTACTTGGTCAACAATAGGAGTGTTTTTCAATCTAATTGGGTAAAGCTGCTGATCCATGCATGTTCCAGGTTCCCTCCTTGGATGCAAGGAAGCTGCAAATGGAAAGAAAGCTGAAGCATATGGACTTGGAGAAGCTCTTGGCCAAGATTCATGGAGAATGGAAGGATGCCCTCAGAGATGAGGAAACTTCACAGGGAACCATGACTCCTTCTAAGACTCACTGATATGCTCATAATATTATTAGGACTTTTCTAGTCTGCAATCTCCCTGACAAGCGCTAAGAGGATTCTCTCTGTATCTTTTTATATTAAACAAGAATGGAAGATATTTCTCAAATTTGGTTATTTTCTTCTTCTTTATTTCCTATTTTTTTGCTTGTGGAATTAACGTTGGATGGACTGCCAACAAAACTACAATGTAGCATTTCTCTGTTTAGTTTCTTCTCTTGAATTTTGATTTATAACTGGTATTTCAATTTCCATTTAATCTTTTCTTGCTACTTTTATTTACATGTACTTTTTTCATGATTAAACTTGAGTTTTTCTTTGGTCTTTAGCTGGTCCACAAAATACTGGTGGACATCCCAATGGGATGAGACAGCATTCAATTTCCACTTTACTGCAAGTTATTCAGACTGAATGCCAGTTGGCTTGGCTACAAATGCTTTTCAACTGTTTTGGATTGTTCCTCTATACAGAATATGAGACATGAAAGCTTGAATGAATTAGAGTGATGTCCAGTTCCTAATGGGGTGAGGGAAACAAATAGGAGAGAGGATATGATGGAGAGAAAGAGGAAGGGAGTCTTCAATGAACTCTTCTGGCAACAGTGGAGCCAGTGTTCAAGCCATCAGCTGGATCAGTGCATTGCCAGTCTGTTCACTGGCTCCTTTTCTTTATTGTTGAAAACTTGAATTCATACCTAAAACACTAGTGTTGTGGTGCTTTGCAGACAGCCAGTATTATGTGCAGCGGATGGGCTTAGTAAAAAACCTGGGTGTTCATGAGGGTTGCGTGAACAGCATCACCTGGGATGATGCTGGTTGCCTCCTCCTCTCCGGATCTGATGATCGCCACATCATCATCACCGATCCCTTTTCTAATAAGGTCTGGCTGGTCATGTTTGTGCCTCTGTATTGTGTAACAAGGGGCCTGCTAGAATAGAAGAAACATTGCAAAAGTGGAAGATTTTTCTGGAGAAACAGTCTGAGAGAACTGGGTAGTTTTTCCCTAAAATGCTTAATGTTCATGCCTGTTGGGGTTCTACAGAATAACCATTCTTGTCAACTGAAGTGACTTGCAGTAATAAAAAAAAAGAAATGGGTTTTATGAGGATTCTATGAAAGAACAGCCATAGTGTGTGAACATGGTTTATACTAGACTGATCAAAAAGGAATGGAACTTTTGCTGCAACTCAAATAACACTCATCGAAATTGTTGGCCACTCTGCAGGCATCAACTATGTTCACTTTGTGACTCATGTTAAAAATGTCAGTGGTCTTTCATTTAAGGAACTATGTTGGTGATAAAAATAAATTGCCATGGTCAGTAACTTTTGACAGATTTTACTGGAATGCCAGCACTGGAGCAAAGGGCAAAGATAAAGCTCTGAAAATCGTTCACTGTGACTCTCGAGCTTTTGCAGCAAATGTATCTACATACAGCAGGTACTTGCTGCAAATACCTGCAAATATCTTTTGCAAAAAGATCGAGAGTCTCAGTGAACGATTTTCAGAGCTTTATCTTTTCCCTTTGCTCCAGTGCTGGCATTCCAGTAAAATCTGTCAAAAGTTACTGACCATGGCAATTTATTTTTATCACCAACATAGTTCCTTAAATGAAAGACCACTGACATTTTTAACATGAGTCACAAAGTGAACATAATTGATGCTTGCAGAGTAGTCAAAAATGTAGACTAGTGTTATTTGAGCTGCAGCAAAAGTTTCATTCCTTTTTGATCAGTCTAGTACAAGGTATTGAAGGAAAAAACTTTTTAACAAATAAATCTCTGCTCTTACTGATGCTTTTTTTTAAATGTTCCTTTGACAAAAATTACCATGTGCAAAGGCAGGTATACTTCCAAGGGACTTGCAAAATTTCTTTCAAGTTTATTTAACCAAGCAATCTATATTAAGCTATCCTGCGAAAGTTGGTTCTTAAAAATGGAGTGGAGACTACTAGTAGTTGAGGGGATTCTATGCATTTGCACTGCTTGGCAATGTCATCCAGGCCACACTGAATATTACTTCCATGCAAATTCTTTCTCTGGGTTGCTTTTTTGATGCATACAGTTTTGATTAGCCTTTTAAGACAGATTTTAGTCCCTCTGCATAAAATGTAGCCCCCTGTCCATTTTCAAGTTATGCCTTATAAAAATAATAATGTTTGACTTTAATGAAGCAAATTTGCATGACATTTCAACAAAGTGTTTTGAGCATATGAGCCTGTGCACAGGGCAAGTTCTGTAACTAAAAATGACCAGGGTTGTAAAGGTTTATTAGTTAGGTTCTTTTTTTTTATTGTCATTCCCTGTAGAAAATTTTACAAATTTTTCCATTGACCTTCATTGACAGGAGCATCATCTCCTGTTCTCCAGGTTTTTCTCCAACCTTTCCTGATGAGTTTGACACAAGCACTGCTGCTGTCCCTTTGCCTGATTTTTCTCTCATTTGCATATAAAAGGATTTTAATCACCACTGTAACTAAGGGTTGATTCTTCTCCCTTGCACCTGTCTAAGAACTATTATTTATTTATTCTTGCTAAGCAGGTTCTTGGCAGGCTTATACAAAATTAATCATTATTTTAACTATCAATAGTTTTCTCATCCCACTGTCTTTAAGGCACTTTAGGTCAAATAGCTCCTTTATTTGAAGGCATAAGGAGTGACCCTCAATTTGGTTCTTTAACAGAATTTTGCATCAATAGAGTGTTTTTTAAACATCACATAACTCATTCCAGTAATATCTAGTGGCACCATTCCTGAATAAAAATATAAGAGTCACACCCAAGGATGGGCTCTTAAAACAAAGTATAGGGTAATTTGGAGGAATATGGCCCTGAAAAGTGAAATTTGGTCCGAATGGCTCAGCAAAGTTGAATTAGACTTTGCCAGTATTTGGAAATTATAGATTGATATTTCCTTTACTCAATCCCAGTAAGGCACATGCCACAAAATATATGGATCTGATGCATTTGGATCCTTTCCAAGTTGGTTAAAAGAGGTCATATTACCCCTATTGTTGGGGAAATATGGCCACTTCTCAAAAAAATTACCCAAGGTTTTTCAGGTACATCTAATATGTATAGACAATCGTGACTGACTGACGCTAATTCTAACGTTCTAGTTCTAATGTTCTAGTTCTAATGTTCTAGAGGAGTTAGAAACCTGAAGCATGGTACACATGTACCTTTTGGGATGCAGAGTTCAGAAAAAATCTGCCTTTGGAGGTACTTGCCCTGGGGACACCCAATTTTGGGAGGTGACGTTTTCAACTAATTTTGTTTTTTTTTCACTAAATTGTACAGAGATATAAATATGAAACTTGGCACAGCAATAACTGAGGTGATGGTGACCAGAAAAAAATTCCAGTTTTGTGGTGCATTTTCTGTGGAGCACAGCTTTTGGCTTTGTCAGCTTTTCAAAATATATTTTTGCACCCGCAAAAAGAGCAAACAGATAAGGCTGAAACTTGACATGCATGTAGTTCTCTGGGTACTGGTTTCAGTAAAAATGTTAATTTTTTAGGTAAAACCCTTGAGGGCATATTTTTTTGCAAAAGGTGCATTTTCCAGAAACTTTTCTGATTCAATGAAAGGGAGAACGTTTAAACTTGGAGCAGAAGTACCTGTTCGATTGATCTTATTTTTCAAATAAGACCCCTCAGGATGGATTATGAAGAGATTTGAAGTCAGGCACACATGAAATAATTGGTGTAATTATTTTGATGGAAATATCAGTTTTTTCTCTCTCTGCACACATTTCGACAGGCACACTTTTTATATGTTCTTCCCACTTTGAAAAAAAAAAAAAAAAGAATGCAAAGAAAACCTGGACAATGGAGCGCCAAAGGTGCAACCATTCCGAGTTTGTTTGCCTGAAGGGCAAACTCGTTTGAAATATACTTGAACATGCTGAGTAACTTGAAGCATAACAAACAAACAAACAAGGTTGAGCACTTGAAAAAAAAACCTGTAAAACTCATTAACTGCATTGAGGACAAGCGAAGAAGTTGACATCATTACCTAATTCCAGGAACTGTGATGAAAAGCAAGATTGTAGCGCTTTTGACAAAAAGTAGCATTGCACGTGATTGGGAGACTGTACCTAGAGACTGTGGGTCTAAGAGGAATGATTGCCTAGAGATCAAAGTGAATATGCACTATGAGCAAGAAGTAAGAGGTCCTATAGTGCTGGAAAACAGTATGTAATTTTTTGTATGAGGGGTATTTACATGCATTCAAATTTCAAGCCCTGAACATTTCTGAAGTACATCCTGCAGAAGTACAGGAGGCATTGCATGAAGATATCAGCTTCATATTTAATGCAGATGACCAGTGGATCACCGAACGTCCACCGAATACACAGGGTGGGCCAGAAAACAAAGCTATCATTTTTAGTAAGCTGTCAATCTAATTGCATGCAACTGATTTTGATTACATTTGGTATGCATACAGGATGACTCAATTAGGGTTTATGTCCAAATTTCAAATAAAAATTCCAAAAACTGAGATTAGCATTTAATTTACATTTCATCACCAAAAAAGTAAGTGTTCATTTTTTTTTCAGCTTTAAAATTCTCACAACTGACAGAAACAAACAAGTAAGCAAACAGAACAAACACAGATGCACAAATGCCAAACACGAAAGCACACAATTTGGTTTAGGGATGTACATTTCAACTGAAAAGTTGCTCAATGTGCCCTCCATTCTGTTGAACTGTAGTCTGTAGTCTGGGACACCACAGATCAATGGCTCGATCAATAAACTATTGAGGCAGTGCTTCTCAATCTTCCTTTGTAGCATCATGCAGGGATGGAAGGTCAATGAATTCAGACCTCTGTTTCATCCCACCCTCAGGGTTGTATCGATATTTCCAACAGCGCATTTTGTCGGTCATCAGAAAATAATTACAACTCCTATCATTTTAAAGGCAGATAGCTGGCATTTGGTACACAAACTCCAATTTTGTCACCCTATAAGTCTACCTATTTTAATCAAAATAGCCTACAAAGAGATTGAGAATGGTAGTTTTTTTTTTTTTTGGCCCACACTGTATATCCAGAGGATGTACATAGGATGATCTCTTGCTGTCTGAGGTTCCACATAAAAGGAATCTAACACTGCTATTAGGTCCAGTACAGTGCTTCCATGAAATCAAGATGTGTCCGTATTACCCAAAATTGAGAGGACCACTTTCCTCTGCATATGCTTGAATGACAAATTTGACCACACTCCTTGCAAACTGCTAATGAAGGCGCTGGTACTTCCCACAATCATTCTGGAGGCATCATGGAATAAATTTGAACAAAAGGTTTCTGTATTCATACTGCAGTTAGTAAATGTATGCCTAGGTTCAAGGCTCATTTTAGTTTCAGGGTCATGAGTTGAACACCAATTTTCAAAGCATCAATTTATCCTGAATTCCTCCCAGCATTGGATTAATGAACAGGTCATAACTTATTGGCAATTGCATATATTCTTTAATAGAACTAGTTTTAAAATTCATGTAAAACAATTCTTCAGTCTGTTAGAGATACATTGTGAAGGGCCATGTTCTCCCAAGCTTCCCTAATCAATCTCACATCTTTCATAACTTCCTACTTTACAATCCTCCCCCGTTATAACGCCACCCTCGCTAGCCACCATCCACCAACACCTTCACTTGCACAAACGTGTCATATTCTACTTAAGTCTTACTCGATATTGTGCCAAGGAGCATACTGTACCTGCCACATGTAACATTTAAGGCTGCTAGCTGCTCCTTTCAATCTTGTAATAGATAGCAAGATTGTGAGGGATATATTAGCATTAGAATGGACCCCAGGGATTACAGGGGGTGTATAGGGTCACTGAATCCTGTCTAATCCTTTCTCTTCTTTTGGGGAATGGAAATGACTAATCTAGATTGTTATTGTACACAACTTCTCCAGATGACAGTTCATGTTTATTCACTATCCAGTGATGGGGAAAAGAACAGTTTTAAGTGAAGGAGAAATAGGAAGTGTGTTGTTAGAAGGAGGTGCATGTGGTTGAAGGTCTTAAGGAATGATTGGATTTAATCATAGATGAAATAGAATCATTTTTTAAAGTTGTGTAATTGGTGTATTCTGCTTGGATTAAAGTGAAAAGTTGTTTTTATTTTACATAAATTGGAAAACATTTCTCAATATTAAACCATATGTTTTGATTTAGCACCACCCTTAATATAGCACTAAAATTGGCTGAGACCAACAGTGCCAGTATATCAAGAGTTGACTATACAACTCAGAGAAGCTTTTATTCTACTTTTTCTCTAGTAAGGATAACAGTTTCTGGCAACTCTTATGATATTATGGCATGGACTTGAGCATGGGAAAGAAAGGAGATAATGTGAGCAGTTCAGTCATGTCTGGTTAGTGGATAGGGTCCATGATGTCAAGGAGTTCCAGTGGTAATATTGGCTACCATCTTCAACATTCTAATTTGGAGGCATAGCAGTCTTATGACAGTAGTAAATATGCCAGAGTATAAATGGTTTTCAAGAAGCCAAATTAATGCCATGGTATCATTACAACATTCAGATACTTATGAGAGTTATAAGTATGCTTTTTTATTATTATCAAGAATTGACTCTGTGTCTTCGACCTGGATAAAGTTTGTGTTTGCAGCAAAGAATGGCATTTTCTCCCTATTCATGGTGTGTGTGAGAGAACTACTCAAGGTTCTGCAAAAACAACAAAAGCAAAAAATATATATTATCTCTCCAGACCTCTGTTAGTAGATTGAAAGGCTAGATTTGTGCTGTTTCTTTTTTAAAATTTAAGTAATGATGAAATTAATAAAGAATGATGATTAGAGAAATACTGTTGCTATTATCTCTGTTGGTGAACCTACAATGCTGAGTTCTTACCTTACATCTTTGAAGCCAAGAACCTTAGTCTGAAAGGACTTTCATGGAAGAATACAGTGAATGGAAATAGCTTTTCTGGAATAATTTCTCAGGTAGCATCACTTTTTTTATGACATAATAGAAAGATAAAATCTTCCTTTTGCTTCTCTATGCCAAAAGCAGACACAAGAGTGAAGGTAGACTATCACAATAACATTAACTTCTATGGCATATGATATCTGATTGGGAAACTTTTTTCAATTCCTCAAGACAAAACTTAGAATATCATTCTGTACAGATGCTTAATGCTGCTCTGTGCTGCACAGGTGCTTTGCATGTTCTTTGGGCATAATTGTGTCAGTGCCATCTGTACTAGAATGAATGAGTAAAATAGGAAAATAAATTAATCAAGCTGGGTATACACAAGTGCCTGAATGTAGATAACATTATTAGAATGAGTATGTTCTCTTAGTTATTGTAAATGAATTAGTCTTTTTTTTCACAAGAAGCAAAGGTTTATAGTTAATATTCTGAATCTTTGTGCAGGGGCATCTCCTGCTCTGCTCCTGGAGAATCTCCATAAAAGCAAATTTGCTCCTGTCAACTGAATTGATTGAAAGAGGCCTGATTTTCTTACCTCCAAAGGTGGAAGGAACCAAGCAAAATATGCAGAAGTTTCAGGTCTGGGAGGTGTGTGGGCAGAGCCATAAATAGGGTGGAATAATATACAAACTCCCCTTTGCAGACATCATTGATCCAATTTATCATAATATGCAGTAAAACTCATCTGATGAATGTCACTACCCTTTGACAGTCTACTGTCTGCAGAAGGATTCAGGATATTGACTATAAGTGGTTTTGTGCTTAGGAAGTTCCTGGCAATTTTTCGCCATGTATGAGAGCACAATTTTTCACCTTGTAGACGATGTTGAAGCATCAAACTGGTCATCGCTCTAATATCTTCAGTGCCAAGTTCCTCCCCAAGTCTGGGAATCAGAGGATCGTGTCCTGTTCTGGTGGGGGACAGATCCTCTACACCGGTACACATTTGTACCCTTTCCAATGCCCAATTATCTGAATTTAAGTCATGTTTTTACAACAGTGGATTTTGGCTTTGTTATGTGTAATGCAGACTTAGAGAGATTGGAGGAGACACGGGCAAACTGGTTCTTGTGTCATGAAGGGACTACATATGAAATCCTTACCCTGCCATTTGATCCCCATTGCTTCCTGTCTTGTGGTGAGGATGGAACAGTACGACACTTTGATCTTCGCATCAAGAACTCTTGTTCCCTTCCCAACTGCAATGAGGTATCAGTTCCTACCTTTTATATCCTGGTCAGTAAGGTGACAAAAGAGCCCATGCTGAGATCTTATTAGCCATGTACTTATGCAATATGTACAAAAGTACATATTGCACGAATGCAAAAGGCTTTGTGATGATCAGAAAGGTCAGTCTGGCTGTTAAACCCCATTTGACCCAAACTAAAGGGCACAACTCAGGTGAGAAATGGGCATATTGATATGGGCCGATCAATTGAGCCTTCCCTGATGCAGTGCCAGAAGAATAGTTCTCAAGGGCAAACATTCTGGGATGATTGCAAAATGTGCCATGTGGAAAGCACAAAGAATCAAATGTTGACTACAATGAGCTTTTGAGATGATCATCATAATTGAACTATTGCTACATTGCATCAAATAAATGGTGAAATAATATAACTGCCATGCATGCCCTGGATGTTGATCAAGACATTGGGATCCCACATCCCCAAAGTGAACTGTTTTTTAATTTAAACACGGGTCATTTAAAAGTTCTGTCCAAAGTTGTAACTTATTGACTATGTAGAGGTTATCTGCCAAATTGTCACCTGTCTTGTGAAAATGGCTTGAGAGGACTCAGTGTGGTGGTCAGCACTCAGATGTCTGCTGATGCTCAGTGTGGGAAGGGATGAGTTTGAGTCATTATTTCAAATAGCTGATAGCAATGCTTAAGTGTTTTTGTTTTTTGTTTAATTTTTGTTGCTTTAGCAGAAATTTTGAATCCAAAGCATTTCCCTTCCAGAATCTGCTTATAGAAGTTGCTTTCATTAACCCTTTGACTTATAACACTTTGATGACTTTGATGGCTGATACGTTTTTGTATAAAAATTGGCCCTGCTTGTCAAAAAACAATAGTTTGTTAGAAAATGTCATATCATAATAATTATTGAAGATAGCAGTTACATGCATATATAGCTGTGATATAACCTAGAAACATTGAATGTTCTGAGCCCGAGAACATACCCATGCTACCACTAGACAAGCCCGAGTATGTACTCAGGCAAACAGCCAAAGGGTTAAGGTTTGCCTTTGGAGTAAAACCTAAGACTGGGATATCCCATTGATAGACAGAACAAGAAGTTAGCAATATTTTAAAATGCTATCTTTGATTTTAGACTTTTTGCCAGGTTTGGCCCTGTTTTGACCCACAGTGCAATAGTTAGAAAATTCTTAGCAAATAAAATGTTTGAAAGAGGATAGCATTGCCCTGTTGTTAGGTCAAAGTTAAAAATATTGAGGAAAGTCCTTTTAAGAGAATGAGCCAAACTGTGCTGCATACAATAAAATTCTGCTGAGTAGTTGCATGAAAACTCTGCCCTTCTTTGCAGGACATCTTGATCAAAATGAAAAATGGTGTGACAGCCCTGTCTGTGAACCCCATGCTTCCTTACCAACTAGGGGTTGGGAGCGCTGATGGCCTGGTCCGTATTTACGACCGTCGTTCTCTCATCACTGGTTTGTCTGCTTTCTCCCTGTCCATCTCCATGCATACAGAATTGAACATTTTAAAATTGCTAAATATTGGGATACAGAACTGGAAGGATAAATTGTCCATTGCTCTGGTATAAAATTGGCTGGAAAATATAGATAAATATGCAGCAATAATTACTATAATAAAATGGTAATATAATATAAATTAATTTCATTTTATGAATATGCGTCATTCTCCCTCAAAGAGATGAGTATAAAAGCAGTGGAGATAAGGGAGGGGAAGCAGTACTTTTCAGAGTTTTGTGATTCATGCTGGACTCCTGTGGGATTGAGATAAGAAATGGGACAGAGCCAGTAAAAAAAAAAAAAGCTGGACCCAGCAATTATTCATGCCCAGAATAGCCTTATTAAATTTGTTAAATTTCTGCTGCAGGCCCAAAGCTATTCACACCAGTTGAGCGAGGTCAATTGGGTGTGTTCTATACGGGGAGCAGCTTGGAGGATTCAAACCGGGTCACATGTCTCGCCTTCAGTCCCAATGGATGTGATGTCCTGGTTTCCTATTCCTCTGACTATCTTTACCTCTTCAACATAAATGTAAGTTTTTCCTCCTCTGTCAAGACAGAAGTGAATTAAGAGAGGGAGATGCAGATCTTTCTATGCCTTAGACTGCTGTAGGTATGAAAATGATGAATAGGTCAAATTTAAAATCAATCTTTCCTCATGTGTATGCCCCCAAATCAAAATTTGAGCATATCATTACTGCAAGGCCTACACTATATGAAGGCAAGAAACAACAGGTGTGAAACCTTTGTCAGATCAAGATGTGAGAAAACTGAATCCCCCCCCCCCCCCCCCAACATGATCCATCAACGCACCATTGACAGTTCATGTTGATTCATCTATGCTTTTAAAACAAGCATCATGACAGTACTATAAAAGAAGTTAGAACATGGCTTCATAATAGGCCTATTTGAAGGAGTATTTTTTATCACGGATTTGAGTTGTTCATCTACATATCATCGACACTGGCACCAACTGATGGGTATGAGATCATTATCGGCCAAAAGTGACCACCAGTACAACCCTACTTTTAACCCTTCCACCCTGATGCCTGAGTATACTTGTTTTCAAACTACACATTCCCAACGCTGATCTATTTAATGCCACAATTTCAATTATTTCTATACTTGGTCCCTAAATGTTTTGGTTTCTTTATACTGGGAATGCTAAAAGAGAAAAAATTGCAGCGTGGGGCTACCATGCCATTTAAAACTCTATGCCACATAAAGTGGTTTTATGCATTTCCATCAGCAATTGTCAAATACAGTGGATGCTGCTTATTGTTATTGCTGGTTAATGTTATCAACCATTTATTGTTCTCAAAACACGAAAACCAAAACCAAATCCTATGTTGACCATATTTTTTGGCTAATATTATCAACCCCACCAGCTACTGTTATCAAAATTTTCTACCCAAGTCAGAAAAATAACCCTATTCAGAACCAGCTTCTTGTTATCAGTGTGGTCATCTTAGTGAAGTCACATAGGGCAAAATGCCCCCTCTCCCCCCACTACCCTTTCACCAATGAAAGAGGCACAAACTCTACAACAACAATCCAATATTGACTCATGCAATTGAATGTTGCTCTTGTCATGAGTTTCACTTGCTTTGTTGCAAAATTGTAGTGAGTTGTTTTATTTTAGTGTTTCCATCAGTGCACCCTTCTTTTCACCCAACATTAGGTAAGATGTGGGTGAAATGATGCATTGACAAAATGTAGTCAAAGGGAAGCAGCTGCAAAGCTAGGAATTTCACAACCATTTTGGTGAAAATTTTGAAAAGCAGACAAACTCTTGAAGCAAGTGAGACCTTGAATCAAAACCTCAACAGAAAGAGAAAGAGGGAAGATAAAAACATGGATGTTGAAGATGCTTGTCTGAAATGATTTAAGCAAGCTAGACTGCTGAATGTGCCCATTGACAGGATCATTTTGTGCGAGAAAGCCAAGGAAATTGCTGAAAAATTGGCAAATAAAATTTCTTTCCAACCAATCGTTGGCTCAGTAGGTAGAAGGGCAGACATAACACAGTCCTGTTTAGTCTTGTCTATGTTTCCAGGTTTTATTCCTTTCTTTATTTATCCTAAGATGATGAGTGTAATGCTCAGCGATCACCATGTATTGTTATCAGCCAGTTAATGTTATCACATCATTCATGCCCCAATGTGATTACAATGTGATCACCTATTGTAATAGCAGAAAGTTGACATCATAACATCCCTACCTAACAAACCATTCAGTGATGTTTGGTGGGGGTGTAGAAACATAAAAACTGGGAGCTCTCACAGAGTCTGTCAATATTCTGGCAGATATACCAGGGTCATCCATCCTTCCATTAATTTCTGATCTTTCTTAGTGGTTAATATGTTTTTCATCATCCTATGTTTTTTCATTTTCTACTTCTGTGCAGGAGTTGACAGAATTGATGCATGATCAGGGGAAGGAGAAGCTGTCTCCTGGTGGGAGAGGTGGAAGTGGAAAAGGACCTGGTGGACGATCAATGCCCCCAATGAAGAAGCTGAGACTTCGAGGGGACTGGTCAGATACTGGGCCCCAATCTCGACCTCAGGCTGACCACCATGGCGAGCCTTCTGGTAGTTCTTTGTTGCTCTGCTCTTATTCAATTATACCTTTATTGCATTTATTTTGACTTGCTGCTTCAAAACAGGTAGTTTCCTTTTCTTTTTCACTTTGTGGTATCAGTTGCTATGTGTGCTATAACATTCATTTTCAGATCTTTCATTTACAAAAATTTTGGCTGGTCTCTTCTGCTTTACTATTAGCATGCCAGTGTGTATTAGAATTGATGCAATGCTGCATTTTTTTAAAGCTATTTTCAACAATAAAGCTTCTTTCCTTTTCAAAGAAGGCCTGCTGTCAAACTAATGTCTCTGTATGGTATGTGAAGATATAGGTCAGGCAAGGCCAGTACTGCAGTCAGCACTAATGCAGCGGATCACAGATGTTCTTTCTCACATGATGACAACACGTGGACGGCGGAGGCGGACCTCATCTTCCAACGACAGTGGAGAAGTGGATGATGATGCAGCAACCCATCATCAAATGGCTGATGAGCCTGACAGTGATGCTAGTCACCCACAAGCACTCCCTCCTTCCTACCTCAGTTAGGAAATCTCATTGTTTTTCTGTGTGATCATTTTCCAAATTCCAGCTTCATGCTCTTCAAAGCTTTATTTTCTTTTTGTATTTTTCTGTCATCTAGAGGAGGAAGGAGGGGCATCTTCAAGCACCTGTGATAGTAATGAAGCTTCTGAACTCAATCTACCACAGTCAGTCTTTTCTTCATTCAATTAGTTACAGTTAAAAAAGGGAAGAATATACAGGGCTTTATGTATTACTATTACCTCTGGTTTAGAGTATGGCAGATGTTACCCACCCTCTCCTTTGAGCCTCCTTATTCCTCACCCTCTTCCTCATTTCTAGCCTTTGCACAAATCTTCTGGGATGCCCAAAAAGATTCACTTCCAGTCATATTGTCCTCTTGAATGGGACAGATCCCAGATTTGAGTTTTGCATCGTTCACATAATTTGATTAGTCTCAATGAACCCAAAGACTATGAAGCTGTATGAGTATTGGATAAATATGATACAGATAATGCTCCAGCAATGCACTCATCTTGGATCATCTTGCAGGAGTAGGAGGAAACTCTCATTTTCCTAAATTTTCACAAAATGGAGAGAAAGTATTTGCATGGAAGGACATCCCAAGCAAAAATGTTCTATCTTTTTTGGACCTTCTCAGGTGATAAAATTAGATCTTAAAACAAAGAGTTTGAAAGGATGCAAGACAATCCAAACATGCTGCTACAATCACAGTTGTGCCTTTCCAAACCATTGAGAAATGTTTGTAAGGAAATCCATCTGCGTCTCTAGTGCAGTGGTTCTCAACCATTTTTTCAATTTGCTGCACACTTTGACTACTGAAAACTTTCAATCTACAGGCTTTCAGACTCACATCTTCTGACTCATGAGGAAGGGGGGTCAGGGTAGCTGGGAGGGAGCTGCCAAGGCTGATGTTTCACGGGATGAAGGTGGCCATGTGGGAATTTTTACAGTATGGATTTAGCTCCATCCTTGGCTTGGGCTGTGTTGGAGAAAAAAAAAATACATTTTTCTGGTATTTTCCTCTCAAAGACTCAAATCTTGCAGCATATCTCAACTTAGCTGATAGCACTTTTGGTTGAGAGCCACTGCTATAGTCTTTTCATTGCTTAGTTCAAATAACAAGGATCAAGTTAAATTTAAAGCTGTGTTCAAAGGTGAGTGAGTATGTTGTTCCCATTGCACTGCTGCAAGGGACATTTCCATAACACTTGCATTCCAACCTAGGATGTACTCTGTCTTATCTTTTATTTTTCATACACATCCCACTTCATGTGCTTTGAAGTCCAGAAACTATTGCTGAGTAAACTTTGAGCTTTTGTAACCAAGATTTAGAACTCATACCAATTATGGAAAAATGCCTTGTCCTGCCCACTCTACTCATTCTGGACCTTTTCATACCCTTACTACAAAACCTTGGTTGTCATCATGACCAAAAAGCTGATGAAATAAAATTAATGGAAAAAAATAAGACTGAAGAAATGAGAGAACCTTTTTGTATTTTTGCAGTCAATTGCAATGGGATTGAGAACTCTTTCTTTTTTATACCTTAAGGCATTGTGGTATGTGATAAATTTATTGGTAGGTATACCGTGGCTCAATACTGTGGTATATTTGTGATACCGGCGAGGAGCAGGGGGGGAGGGGTGTTCCTTCAGTTATGAGCTCTCAGAAAAAGGCCCTTGAAGAGAGCAAGTCTTTTTGTTGTGACATCATGGAGCTAGTTGCGCATGGTATTATGCCATTTGATTGGAAGGAAGGGGGATTCATTTGTTTAAATCCAAATGGATAGATTCAGTAGGTGCACCCAGGAATAATGCTGCAATTAAAGTTGCTGGGATGACTCAGATTATGGATCATGGGGGGGGGGGGAAAGAAGCATCTTGTAAGAGAATCCATCTCATTGTCCATGGCTGCGTGTTTCATATCGGTATTGAGTGCTCAGACTCACTATGCAGAGGGCACAGTCAAAGCGCAAGTGTACCCACAAATGACAGATCTTGGTCATTGAGTTCAAATTAAATACATTCCAGAGACTTACAGGAAGGCTTTTGGTTTTCCCCTGGCTGTGGGCATCACCATGGATGGAGATGAGAAATAAAGTTGACAAAGTATTATATTTTTAGAAATGGCTTTTCAGGTATGGCGCTGTGGTGGTGGTATGATGAGAGGCAGTATCCATACCATGATGACAGTATTCCATGGTTTTTAGACTGTGGCAATGATGCAGAAAAATGTAGAAGGGGTCAGTTTGATTATCATGAGAACCAAATACCATGGTATGATGAAAATACTGGTATACCGCAATGTCCTACTGTACATGTGATGTTTTGTATTTCTAGTAATGATCACTTTGCCTTAGAAGAGACTATGTTCATAGCAACCTGTCTTAGGGAGCTGCCTTAAGAGCTGCAAAATAGATCTTGGGTCAAAGTTCGAGGTGTTCCTAAAGTTACTTTCACTCTTCAAGCAGCTTGGAGAAAAACATGGAGAGGTGTAAGATGGGGAATATTGGGATTAATGCTATGCTGAAGCTGATGTGTATAAAACGTAAGGTGCTGTGTTAGCTCCTCCACTGTCATATATCCTCACAGTGGAGGTAAAAGCCACTCCAAGCAACCCTAATACACTCCCAGAATTGAAAGAGTATGCTGGTGGGGGAGATTCATCTCATCCCCCCAAAAATGCTAGGTGCATCAATGTGGAATTTGCTGCTATCCCTTGAGACCATTCTAACCTCCAGTGGAACCTGGATTGGACCCTTACCATAATAACCTTTGCTATGTTGTGGTTGCATGTCACTTGACATGATGGTACCATTACAGCACCAGATTTGTTTACTTGTGTCAGGTTTATGCAAGGGATCCAACCTCCAATTATTCTGTCTTGCATCACTATGTTCACTCCACAGCTGCCTGAACAGTGAAAGTGATTTTTGGACACCCTGTTTGTAGAATGTACAACCTAGGGAAATTTAAGAATAAAGCAGGAACAATGGTACAATCAGCAAGATTGCACCATTGCAGGCAGTAAAACAGGCAGTGTAGGCAATGAAAAAAGAAACACTTGATTGGCATGAGATCTTGGCATGAGGCATGAGTTTTCCTTTGGTTAATTCTATTCATATGTCCTTTACTTTAACTTTTTTTCAGGTTTGTTTATATACAGCATAGTAACTGGTCATTGAAAATTTCAATTTTGTCTGGTCATAGTTTGAAGGCAGTAGACAGACACCATTGGAAGCTGTTCATCAGGATAGTGCACTTTGACAAAGCTCCAATGTTTATAACAAGAAGCATGAATTCAAGCCCAATAGGAAGTCACCTGAATATGAGACTTTGCATGCATGACAAAGAATGCCCATTTCCTATGAATGATCACACCAGATGTAACTCATCTTCACTTGTCTACCCTCCACTCACATACCTATTTCTTAACAGTGCACATTAGTTTGGGACTAGAATTTTGAAAAGAATGAAATGTTATGAAAACTGACAGGAACACATTTTCCCCATCAAGTTAGCTGCTGGTTGCAATTGTGCAGTTCAATTCAAAAATAAATATCCAGCTTTCGAAATCTCTCGCCACAAGTGAAAGCTTCTGTGACTCTTCAAAAGAATCTGAGATATTCCTTAGCAACCACAGTTGGGTTCGTTATGCAGTCTAGTTCAGGAGATAAACATTCACTCACATTTTTCTATGAGGAATGGCATTTATCCTGGACTATTTCTGCATAAGACTCCCATGTGTGTTCATGTGGTTCTAGAGGATTTTTTTTTAAAGCAGAATATATATTTATAGTAATACTGCTACTTTTCACAAAAGGAACTATCCAGAGATCATTGGATGGTCTTTCTCAGGAGAGAGGAAAAGAAGTGTGAAATAATGTAAGCATGCTGCTGCCACATAGTCACTGTTGAGTCAGTACCATTCAAAATTCTAAAGCTGGATTCCAGCTAAAACCAGCACGTTTGGAGCCACACTTGCTTCAAGTCCACTTTCCAAGTCTTCCAAGGTTGCAGTGAAGGTCAATTATGAGGTGTGGTGATGTTTATCTGAAGAAGTGAGCAGGTGTATGCTGCTAGCAGATTGTTTATGCATTTAACAGTTTTTCCTAGTCCCAACATGACTATCTTTCAAGACTAGCTGGAATAAGCAGTGTTTCTCATGCCTTCTGCCACCACAGCAAAGGTGAATTTTACATATAAGTGTCTACCAGAAATTAAAATGTAAAAATTTTGCAGAATGATCTAAACCTATGCTTTCCTACTCAGGCTGATTTCACACATCTCAGTACAAGTTTCAAGTCGGATAAGTGTCATCCAGAAATATGGTAGGATCAACGCTAGAATGAAACTAATGTGCCTTGTCAGAGAAAAAAGTCTTTCAATTGAGTGTGAATGTCCACTGCTTTCACTCCATGAGCCAACATAAACTTGAACACTAGTTGTATTTGTTTTAAAACAATCACTTTCATTTTAAAACAATCAGTTTTAATATTTGGTATGAGGTATACTACATTCAGACACACCAGAGAGGAAACAATATTTTGGATCTAAATCTCTCCATGAAGTTAGCTGAAGGAAGCATCCAGAATCAAAGTTAATGGAAAAGGATCAATTCTATTCCTTCCAATTGATTGAGGTGTTTAAATAGTCTTTTTTGATTGCACTTTTTAATATAAAATTTAAGATCCTGAAACTTGATGAAAGCATATGCATTATGTAGTCCTTGCATGGCTTTTGACTACTGTGTTAACAGATCAGAAACAACAGAGAATCCATGGAGCCAACTGAAGTTCAAGAGGAAGTTCCAGGGACACCGTAATTCCAGGTCAGCTCATGAAATTTTACATTTACGAAATTTCACCTTTCCCCCCCCTCCCCAGGATGAAACCTTTCTCATCATTCAAAAGAATATCAGAGAATAGTGTCATGTCTGTACAACATTGGTTGAGATGCATTGCATCAACATCAAGTTGTGATGGTACATACTTTTCCAAGCAAGTGGTATAGTAGGGTCACATGAGGTAATATGAATTTGAATTCACCCATTTTCAAGTAAGGAACTTTTGCATAGCCTAAATTGCAGGGATTCTCCTGTCAATATTTGATTTTCTTTGGCAATTCATGAAGTGCTACAACATAGGGCTATACAATATTTGTCTTGGGACAATATTCTATAGTATTCCTGCAGTATTGCAATATATTGATGTTATCATCAGCTGGGAGAGGAGATGGGGGATGTGAGAGTGTGGAAAAAAGGGAAAGCAAAAATCAGCTTTGACACCTTGAAAACCCTGGTTTCTTTTCTCCCCTTTCTTCTGACCCTATTCAATTTTATTGCTGCTGCCGAGATGCAAGGGGTATCACGATATGTATATTTTCTTGGAAATAGTGACCTACCTTTTCTTCCCTCCTATGACTATCAACAAGATGTACTTGCCAGCTGCAATGAGGGGGAGGGAGGTGTGAAGTACTTCAGTACATCACCAAATAATACTGATTCTGTCACGAAGATTCATCACCAGATTTTGTTTCGTCACTCAATGAATTTACATCACCAATTTCTTATTACTATCACCAATTGATTTCATCACCTGACCTAATGAATCTTACACCAAATTCTCCCTCAGTATTTTCATCAGATGCCATGAAATGAGCACCAAATTTTATTGAGTTAGCTCCAAATCATTGTCACATTTCATGTGTCAAAAGAAATAATTTTTTCTTTTAGCGGGCCTGCAGGGCAGAACACACTGACTATCCCTGCTGTGAATTAGCATTCCGAGTAAATGTTTGCAGATGCCAGTCTTGATCCAAACAGGGCATGTGCATTCAAAATTTGGAGCTCTCACAACTCAGAGAGTCTTGCTCCCTTTAAGTTCTCCTAATGCTCCAGTTTTCTGATTAGATACTCTTGTGCACTTTTCCGAACCTCTTCCCTTGTGGGGTTGCCGTCACTGCAGGCAATGAAGGCATCTCCTTATTTCAATGTCCTCAAACTCTCTAGTTGCCATGGCACCTCTAATGCATAGAGCACACAGAAACTGGAAGTCAGTGCTGTACACAATTCCCATACATGTACACTAGTGCAAGGGGACTAGTTACATGGGTCTTCCCCCGAAGGTCCCCCAAAGCATGATATGATCTTACAAGTACAATCTCATCTTGCCATCACAGGTCTAACCAGAAATAAAGAAGTAATCATTTCCTAGATACTGTTGCAAATGCTGAAAATGTCATAAGTTTGATGATGAGAGCATTTTTTGGTGCAGGATAATGCAAATTTGGTGATACCAGCACCTGTGATGGTGCAATCATGTTTGGTGAAATCAAAAATAAGAATTTGGTGACTGACTCCAATTTGGTGAAGATTCATTGTGATCTGGTGATGGAGTCCATATTATTGCAGGCTGAAAATATTTGGTGACAAGTTCATTGTTATTTGGTGGGTGATTAAATATCTTTCATTAAATACTTACCTTCATTTTGTTCGACTTTTTTGTGGCTTGGACTCTTTCCTCTCATTTTCCTCATGGATCAATGATGAATGACCGATGAACAACATGAGTGTTTTGGAAATCAGGACGATGATCAAGGAAGCTTGTTTCTGGGGTGAGAATTACATCATGAGTGGGTCTGATTGTGGACATGTTTTCATCTGGGACCGGCAGTCTGGTGATGTTGTCATGCTTCTTCAAGCTGACAGGTCTGTGACCTCTATTAAATTGTTACTTTTGCCCCCATTATGTTCCATTCAGTAATGAAGAGTTTCTAAACTTTCTGAAATCTGAAGTAGATCTTCTGGTACTTTTGTAAATTTTTGGGGACTCATTTTGCATTTACCAGTTATTAGTTATAACTGCACCAACCAGAAGTGGGTGATTGTGCATTCTTTTGGACTTTCAATGCTATGTTTCTGTTTTTCCACATTCCCTCAACCATTACTTTACTAAACCGAGCATCGTGCTAAACCGAGGTAGGAGGTGTTTCATTTTGAATGTATGTTGAAATCCAATTTCTCCAGACTAGAGAACATAATGAAACACAGTCTTTGAAGTTTCTTCATCTGTCCTATTGATTGCTTGGTTCACCCCAGAATTGAAGAAATGGTGATTCTGAGTCTTTTTTTGTGTGGTTGATGGATAATAGTAAAGGCAGTAGTTCGGACATGTGAATGAGCCATAAAAGTATCCTCTGTTCTTGAACTCCACAAGGAATGAGTAAAATAGGCATCTCTGCTTTTCAACTTGTTTAGAAATGAAGACAAAATAAACACAATTTAGTTGCCTAGTATTGTGCCAAAAATATAGTTAGGATACAATTGGCTTGAAATAGCTAAAATGTACTATTCAAGTTCATCTCTAATGGAGGCAAGGCACTTGCCATGCCAAAGCCTGGTGTTCTAATCTGGCACAAAGGCCTAACATATTTAAGAAATGTAATGATTTGCAGCAGTATGATGTGAAGTTGTTTCAACATTGACTTTTAACTAAATCAAGTTGCGTAAATCATCTTGTTTAGCTGAAAAATTTTTTGACTTTGCAAAAATGACAACCCTAGGATGTCTTAATACTCCATCTCGCTAGTATGTGACCTTTGGGCATATTAAACTTTGAATGCCATTTTTCAAAATAGAATCTAGTGGGTCAGCTCTTCTTACACTGAATCCTTCAAATTTGAAATGCTGTCCAGTCATGTGGTGAACTGTGTGCAGCCACACCCGCACCTGCCAATGTTGGCCACATCAGGGATTGATTATGACATCAAGATCTGGGCTCCCTTCAGGGACCACTCTGGGTTTGATTCCATTGATGCCCAGCAGGTTCCTCTTTTTCCCTTCTTGCATCCCTCCAAAACTCACATCTTCCATTGATTGATGCTCTATTTTCATCCAGCTGATGGAGCGAAATGAGGTGATGCTGGAGGAGACGAAACACAGTGTGACTGTTCCTGCCTCATTCCTCTTTCGCATGCTTGCATCCCTGGATTCTCTTCGTCAAGGTATACTCCATTTCATTCTATCTCTATCATCACTTATGATATTTCATGGATTATCATCCAATGAATGACAAATACTTTATTATTGGCCTATTTATTATAATTTTTTAATTATAAGTGACATTTGAAACTTTTTCACTTGATGGAAGGAATTGGTAGCATCCATTCTTCCTGGATTCTGACATGATGCATATGCCAGACCCTTTGTCCAGTTCAGGTGTCTTGTTGACAGTTGAGAATGATGGCACACAAGGCAGCAGAGACAATGTGGCTTACCAAAGTTCCTGAAATGTCATATTTGGCATCCAGCACATTATCCTCTCCTCCCATTTCCCAGCCTCTATACCTATCTCATCCTCATCCTCTTTCTTTTCCTAGTCCTTATTGACGGGTGGCTCAAGACTGACTTGAGCTTGTCTAGCTTATATCTTTCCTTACTCTAGTTCTAAATGTCCATACAGAGGATATGTTCCCTCCTCCTTGTCTGTCATGTATGTTAATTTTGCTAATTTTTGTTTTGCTCAAGGAAGAGGTCAGAACTTACAAAAAATCAATCTGTATTTAAACTAATAAATAAGTTGTATTGAGCCCTTTCACCTTTGTATGTGAAAATGTTAGAAATTTTTGAAGTTCTCATAGGACTCAAAGAGACATTGAAACAGCTTCTTGCTTTTTAATCATCAGTGTCCCATGCAAATTAAAAATCATTTGGGCCATACTGACAAAAGGCAAGGCAAGCAATTCTTGAAAGATACATGTGCCATCTGTCTTGTAACCTTCAAGTTGTCCTACAAAAAACTCCTATTCTCCCTATGCCTATCCCCTGTAGGTCATATTTATGAAATGGCAGCCTGAAAATCTAGAATCCATATTAATTAGTAGTCATAAAGATTATAAGTACCTTCCCATGGCTCAATGCTGAGCAGATGACTGAGCTTGAAATTTGTTCCATTCATGCAAGAAGAGAAGATGATCTGAATGCTTAATCACAGTCATTAGACAGTATCTTTGATTTATAACAATTTTAATTCTATCGATGAAAATAAGCGGTCCAGAAGAAAGTTGCCAATAGGCTTAATCCTGTCCTTTCCTTAGTATTTAACTACAAATCTTTCAGGTTTATTTCAGATAGGTTGGTAATAATTTGGAATATCACTTAACCCTTTCAGACCTGAATTAAGGCCACCATTGCAATAATATACTTTTTTTCCTTTTTTGAGCTCCTTTGCTATTGTACTTCAAATTTCTATGCCCTATATATCATTTTCAAAAATTTACCATATCATACTGTATATTACATAATATACATGTAATTAAATAACTGCAGATTACTAAACTGATGAGAGAAAGAAGGCCTCCAGTGGAATTGAGCCATGCATAATTGCTCCCATTGTAGTGTAATATAGGGCACAGAGTCACAAGAATCCCAAGAAATTACTATGGACACAATGAAAATGCAATGTCCATTGGAATGGACACCAGGTCTGAAAGGGTTAAAGGTGTAACCCATGAGCTAGTTCCACATTGATCCAGTTCATAGATGTTTTCAACTTGTAATTATTGTATAGGTTAAGTCTTACAATAGCATCCATATTATTTTTATCCTTATCATCCTTATTATTTTTGTTTTTTTAGGACATGGAAGGAGATCCAATGATGCTGACTCATGAACTGCTCCAATCTTTTACTTCCCTATGTAAAATTCTTGGATTTATTTTTCTTGCTGAATGCTGAGGTGTTATGACAACCTGGTTTTTGTAATGATGCCACATAACTGTGACGTGAATACCACCATGCAACTCAAGGCATACATGTCTAACAGTTTTGTTGAAGTTTAAGTTTTTCATTTTGCTTGGTCTTAGTTCATCTTTCCTTATATCCATTTATTTTCTTGTTCTTCTCAAGTCATTTAGTAGAGAGAACTGTGCAAATCAGTTGGTATTTACTGCTTGCAGCACTCTGGCAACTAGCACTTCGATGGTGATTCACCAGCCCAATGCTTCTAGAAGGGAAGGTGTGTAATATCATTTGCTGACCCCTTGGGTCTCTTGAGTGAGATAAAAGCTGTCATATTCAGGTTAGGTAGCCTGGAATCTGACTGACTTTCCGAATTATTAGTCTTACATTGTAATGGGAGGATCTATCTGACTTAGACTTTTAAGATCCTTAACTCAGAGAAATGAATGCTATCCAGCAATAGCCTGAGACTGAACTGGTGAAGACATGCTGAAAATATGTAACACTTGTTTCATGTGTCAATGTTCCATCAGGAATGGTGTCATCAAAGGTACACATCTCAGTTAATTGTCTGATTTTTTTTGTTGTTGTATGAAAGAGCTTGGAATTTCTTGAATCCCTTCCCTGTCTGTGCATTTTTTGCATTGAAGCACATGTTTTTGGAGTATTTATCTTTGAATTCCCTAAGAATAATTAGAAGCACATTTGCCCCTATTTAAGTTTCAATCCTGATTTCTTGTGATTTCTACTTTGTTATTCTAGGGAAATTTGGACAGAAGATGACCACATGTGCTGCAGGTGAGCTATTTATTTCTCATATTTGAACTGCAGTGGTCTTATTTGTTCTGCTTAGTTTCTATTTCATGTTGCATTTTTCCAAGAGATGACACTATTTGTTCTGAAAGTCATGCCACACCAAGGCAATAAATGCATTTGAAAAAAATTTGTTTGACATTGTGATTAATCTGCTTTTCTTTCTTATTTCACATGAGGATTTTCACTCTATTCCTCTCTGTTGCTGCAGTTCTTGTTTTTTTTTTTGTTGTCTATTTGGGATATTTTTACTACATAGTCAGAAAATGGATGGAGCAACTGAGAAAATGTTTATTCTTGTCATGCTTAAGGGAAACATGATCTTGAATACTTTGATAATGAAAGTTATATCTTTTTTTAATTTACCATTGAATCATGAAAAACCAAAAAAAACGAGCAGATGGCAAGAAGAAACGTTTTCTTTGTAGCCTTATCAATTTTTCCAATTTCATGCAGTGAAAAAAAAATATATTTTGCTTGCTTTTCTGGTTCATAGTTTTATGATTGATACTTTTTTGCTCTAGTACTTATTCTTATTTTTACATTCATGATCATGCCTCCAATTTGTATCGTTGGTGGTAGTCCACTAATTTGCTTTCTTTATATTCGTGTTTTAACCATAGAACTACCAACTGATTTTATTGACGATTGACATTTCTAGGGTTAATTATGGGTTTTCGGCATCGCAAGAGCCTCTTGAATGTTTACTCTGCATGTTTTCTTCGTAGCTCCTTCTTTGCTTCTGTTGATGAATAGCTGCACTGGAGATATTGCAACTGGGAAGAAAAGGTGCTACGAATTGTCAAACATCAGATATACTCACCACAGATAAATCATTTCATATGTTTTTCCATATCATCATAAAAGTCATGCATCCAACACCACAGGTTTACTTTACGCTGCTTTCGCATCTCGTGCTCCTGCTCTCAAGCACCGCATACGCTCATGTCGCAAAACATGGCCAATTACCCTGTGGAGTTCTCTTCTTGAACAGAAGCTATCATAGCTGAAATCATCGTTTAATTCCTCTTAAGAATGGGCGAACGTCCAAGATATCACGGTAGTTGAAGGATTGTTCCATCGGCTGGTGGGAGATGAACGTCACAGCGACTTTAACCCTAGGATTCATGACCGAATTTCTACAAATTTTTGTAGGTCTTATCTTTGGGACCCACTACAAAAATAACACGGATTAGTTTCTCTAGAAGAGAACATTCAATTCATTAAAGGTGTGTCGGTGTTAGAAACTTCTAAATCAAATTCTGTATACACGAAACATTTTTTGTATTCACTGTTACAGGTCCCAAAGACCCATGTCGTGCATCCTAGGGTTAAACCCAGTATTCGGCAGGATGGATGCTCGCTGTGGGAGATTTGCCAGGCTTGGCAACTCTTATGACACAGAGAGCTTGCTACACTTCGGCTCGGAGGGAAGGCACCTTCCTGTTTGGCTACGGTCTATTACGGCTACGAATAATAGGACCCATGACTCGGATAGGAAGGATTCAGTGAGAGCCAGGGGTAATAAGAGACCTCCCACTTCCCGAGGCTCCACCAATGGATGCTTCACAATCATTAATAAACGGTGAGTAGTGGAAAGAAGAACGGAGAGGTATCTCGAAACATGACGCCAGAACCGATGTAGAGTCCTTGACAATCCAGGGTCCATTCTGCTTCGCACCGCGGTCTCACGCGGAGGGAGGACGAGGGAAGGTGGATATTCGAAGGGCCGATTGCATCGACGATGTTTTCCCGGTTTTTTTGCGAAAATCATCGGCTAATCGATGTCTAGGGCCAAAAATGGATTGCATAAATGCTATCTTCCTTTAACCATTGTCTAACCATCGGGTAACAGAAGCTGAAAAAGACGTCATTTCAAGACAATGGATGGGGCATGTTTTGTCGATATCTATACCAGCGCTCGTGTACTATCTCGATGAGTATAGCACTGCAGTGTACTGATGAAGCATAATGGATTATCCTTAAGGAGCGCTCGATATCAGCGATGTGCTTTCGTCGTCGCATGGGACAAATAAACATCGGTTCAAGGCTTAATCCCTTTGAAGTCGAATGTCGATGAAAACCTTCGCGTGAGATACCAATTTGGAAAGGGATCAGTGAATGATGTCGACCTGCTTCGCACTCAACTCGAAAGGAACGAAATTAACGGAAGGGATCCCTTAACTTTCCATCAACGGATAAGAACAATCACTGTTCGTGTGCAATGAATCGTGATTTATTCACGTACCCATCCCCTGAGTAATTAATTAGTATGACTCGAAAGTAAAGAGTGTCATGAAAGCTTTTCGATTTGTATGTTCTGCTAACCCTTCGATTTTATGTGGCATCGATTCCTGGAAATGGAATGGCGCAGGCTATTGCTCATTTACGTCACTCATTAGATTCCCAGGAGGAAAAACGGAGTAGTTGTTCGATGACAATTATTTGATATTCCCGGATTTCCAGGAATGATCGGTGCCATTGACGACTGTCGTATCCGAATAGAATTCCCATTCAACTGCTATCAATCGCAAAGGCTTCTAGTTCATCGATGTCCAAGCAGTGGGCGATGCGGAAGTGATTTTTACTGACGTTGTCACTACATAACCAGGATCCATACGCGATTCTCGGATATCTTCATATTGCAATCGAACGCAAATGATACTTTTTCACATTTCCGACTTTCTGTGCACAAAACGAATCCTCGGCGTTACCCCTGACTTACTGAAATACAGAGTAGGGTCAGTGGAGAACTCACTAATTTTCAGGCACGAATTTCCTTGTGCAAGGAGAGTGGATTGTGTCTTTCTCTATCGTGAGATTCTTATTTACAAACTCTGCGAGATGTACTTAATAGTCTGAGGAAAGTTTCTTCTTTTCCACTCGATTCGTCCCTTTTTTGCGGAGTCCGAAGTGTATTACGCGACAGCCAGAAGTCAGAACGTGCTATATATGCCATGAGGGGCGCTTAGCCATCGGCTATGAAAACAGCTTGGGGGTCGTTCAGGCAATCGAAAGTAGACAACAGTTAACCGATATTTTCGTAGACAATGTTTAAACAATGACTATCGATAATCTATGTTTAAAATAAATATCGTTCATGCAATCGGCCTAAGAGTCCATATTTGGCGAGTTTCCGTTCGGTTCGGGTTCTCGCCCATTGGGTCCACGTTCAGTTCAATATTCACGCAATAAAGTTTCGATTTCGTTCGAGTTCGGAAAATCGCCATAAATTGATCTCGGCTGGAGTTCCTATTCGCTAGAATTTAATTGGGATCGGGTTCTGTTGCAGTTGGCCGCTATTGAGTTCGGGTTCGCCAGTCGCATCGGTTCACGTTTGCTGAAATCGCTGAGAAATTAATGAACACGAAGCAAACTACTCGATTGAACGAGCTTTATTACTTGAAAAAGTCTATATCTCAGATGCTTTTTATTCCTGGACTACATATTAATTTTTACTGTTTTCTCACAAACATTTCCCATATGCATAATTTTTCCGTGAAGTTCCTCACGTGGCTGAGATCGCCAAACGTTTCCACGCGCATCCCAACGATTCCGAAATTCTCTTTTCCCTTCGAAATGATGAGACGTCGGTCGACACGTGATGTGCGAAGACGTGAAAGTAACCGTCGGAAGGTGAGGACGGTGAGCATAGGACAATGAACGGATCGCGAATCGCATCTCGTTCGCGACGTCGTGTACGAAATTGAAAGACGTTAATGCAAAGACGGCACGAAAAATCCAAAGCCTTGACCTCAAACCTTAAAGCGCAAGCTCTCGATGGTTTTTTTTTTCTTCACGGATCTCATCACCCCGCTAAGGAATTGAAGCTCTCGTGAAGTCCATCCGAAAGTTTCACGAGGAGATGGCGCCGACACACCAACTACTACGTTCGCTTCCGGTTCGAGAACTCGGTGGAAATTTACGACAAATCGCATTCGGTTCGGGCTCGCCTGAGGGTTAAGGGTTCAGGGTTTCGCTCGGTTTCGCTGCACTCTTTTAGCCTGAAGCCAGCGTACGTGGAAAGTGAGAGGGGAAAATCTCGCCTCTCTGGAGTTGCTTCAGTCGTCTCGTTGCCGGTTGTCCTTCCTTATTGATACCGGGTGACGCAAAAAAGTGTCTCGTTTAAGAATTATAATATTTACGATAACCTACAATAGAAATCCTAGGTTTGTCTATATTCTAAACCCTACAAGAAACATTTAAAAATTCTTAAAGGAAAATTTGAAGTCTCTAGGTGGCTCGGATAAAGAGCATCAGCCGTTGAAACTTGGATGAGAAATTCCGCTTTTTCACGCATATTTCAGCGGTTTCAGCAACAGATGTGTCCATTTGTCGCCAAAAGCCAACTTCTTACGGCTGCATTCTTATTGCACCGTTCTTGAGTGTGCAGTGTCATCACACCGTAACTTTCGCAGGGAAATTCCTTGCTCGAGAGGGTGTTTTAAAAAGGCTGGAGAGGGAACAGACTCCTCGGAGTCCACGATCTCCTAGAAAATTCTCACTATTATCTTCCCTCTCCAGTCCTTACACTCGAAGCACATCATCGTATTCGGGACTTTCCTTCTCACCTGAGGCCTGAAGACACTACATGATCAAGAATTCCATTACGCGCAAAAAAAAACAGCTTTTATGGCGTGAAAAGGGAGAAATGTTTAGAGCATGGCCAAGACTGCATCCACCTCATGCGTAGAAAACTTTATATGTTATGACTAGGGAGAGAATTTTTTATGTGTTAATAAGTCCTAAAATATGCACATACATATGCGCTTAAAAATGCAAAAATATGCATGAAATATGTACGAATATTGGAAAATATGTAAAAAATATGTTTGTTTTTTTAATGCACGAATTTTTCGGAATAAGAAACTTCAATGTACATTACATGCCACTACTGGGTATAGTTGGTCTATTCTTGTCACAGCCAGCGCCGAAGCCAGGAATTCGCCAATGGAGGGCTAAGGGAAATGAATGGGGACTAGAATTTCCTAAATTGTTCGAGAGGGATGGTAGTAGCGGATGGATTTAGAGCAGAGCTTTGGGGGCTTCACCACTCCAACCAGCACATAACCGCTGGAAAATTGCTCCATAAGTTGCTCATAAAGAAACATTTTCCTGGAAAACTCTTATTTTTTTATAAAAATGGGCTACATATGCATAAATATGCACATATATAGATGTTAATGTGCACATGGGAAAAATGTAAAAAAAAATATGCATCTTTATGAGTTTTAAAAATGTCAGAAATCCCTTCCTCTACCAATAAGACACGATCCTATCTGGGTTGTATACTCCTTGGAGGCTGCAGAAAAAATACGCATTTGCATAAAAATCCGCTGTCTAGTTATGACTTAACTTTGTCGCATTTCGTTCAGACTACGTAGACACTTGGACAACCTAGGCGACACAATCCGAGCGTTGCAAAAACGCCGCTACCCAGTCGAGAATTTTCGTTGGACCATGGTCGGCCCTCGACTTGGTGTCGGCTTTTCTTCGGCGAGTGAGTAGGTCAGCCAAGTCGCATTTGAGCAGTAGTTGCCCCATCGTTCGTCCCTTCTCTGGGTGACACATGACAGCAGTGTACAGCCGGCTAAACACTAAGTTCCGAAGCTGAACCATATGAGGAACGGAAGACAAGCCATCTGAGAACTACTCGAACGAGGAAGATTCCCAACACTGGAGCGAGATGACGCCAAGTCGTCGTTGTAGCGACTCACTCATTGATCCTACTGAATTGAGTGATCCTTTACTTTTCATAGGTTCCCGATCGTTTCTCGCATAGATCATATGGAAGGACAACGGAGCCCCTCGATACATCTCTCTTTAGAAGAAATCAAGCCAGAGATACTCCAGGCAATTCCTGCGCAGAGGTTGGAGGGAGGAGGATTCCACCATCCGATCAACCGTATAGGCCTCGTTGTATTGGGTTGGAAAGAAAGTCTTGCAACACTTTCTGACGAAGCCCTGCGGAACGCCCTCAACGCGAAGCCGAACGCCACCACTCGCGAATCGGCGACTACACTTGGAGTCACCCATATGGCCATCGGCAACCATCTGAACGACCTCGGCTATCGGAAGGTTTACTCGACATGGGTCCCTCATCGGCTCGGCGACTCTGACAAAGCAAGCCGTGTCAGTGTCTGCGAATCACTGCTCCTTCGTCCGCACAGAAAGGACCTTCTGAAGGAAATCGTTACTGNCGTGTTGCGAAGATGACTCGCCAGACGATTTCGGAACCGGGCTGGGAAGTTTTACCCCATCCAGCGTATTCTCCGGACTTGGCCCTTTCCGACTATCACTTGTTCCGGGCCCTCAAGAATCACCTG